TTTTAAAGATTTTATTTATTCATTTGAGAGAGAATGAGATAGAGCATGAGAGGGGGAGGGTCAGAGGGAGAAGCAGACTCCCTGCCGAGCAGGGAGCCCGATGCGGGACTCGATCCTGGGACTCCAGGATCATGACCTGAGCCGAAGGCAGTCGCTTAACCAACTGAGCCACCCAGGCGCCCCGGAAATCATAGTTTTATGGAACTAGTATCCACCCGCCTGTAAATTGTGTGTGGGGGGTGGAAATCATAGTTTTATGGAAAAGAAATAGAATAAAAAAGAGACCTCTGTATTTGAAGTGACAATTTTCTGAAACCTCTTAGGAAACCAATGCAAATATTTCTGATGGGGAGGGAGTTCGGGAAGAGCAGATTTCCCTCTCTAGATTGAAATGTACCAGAAGAAGCATTCTATAATACGAGCCAGGCCACCGGGCTGAGCACATTTTATACATTAGCCATGCGAATGTTTAAAACAACACCATATTTAGGTGTTTATCTCATTTTCCGGATAAGGGCTTATTCACGTTCTCACAGTTTGTAAACAGAAGAGCTGGGTTTTAAACTCAGGTTTTCTTATTCTGAAGTCTATCTTGTTCCCTGAGCAAGTGTTGGATGTAGCTGTGTCCATCTGTACTCACCTCCTGTTAAAATCCTGGCTCTGCCCCTGCTTATGAAAATGATGATCCATACTCTACCCATACCCAACTAGGGCCCTCATGGGACCAGAACAGACCTCGTTCTGGGCAGATGTTTCCCCCACTGTGTCACCCTGTGTCAGTTGGGGGATCTACACCATGTTGTATGTGTGCCTTCTGAAAATGGGACTTCAGTTTGTCAGCCCCTCTTATTTCTCTAGAGGTCAGGGTGGGACTGGCGATAGACCTTTTCTCTGCTTCTCATTTTCTCCACTTGACCTTGAAAATACCACTTAAAATGGAGTATTAGAAAGAATGATACAAGTGTGTATGAACATCTTATTTTAAAACCTATATATTCTTGGGGCGCCTGGGTGACTCAGTCGTTAAGCGTCTGCCTTTGGCTCAGGTCATGATCCTAGGGTCCTGGGATCGAGCCCTGCATCGGGCTCCCTGCTCTGTGGGGAGCCTGCTTCACCCTCTCCCACTCCCCCTGCTTGTGTTCCCTTTCTCACTGTGTCTCTCTCTCTCTCAGATAAATAAGTAAAATCTTAAAAAAAAAAACAAAAAAACCACAAAACTATATATTCTTGTATTTTTTTTTTTAATGTAAAAACCCCATTCTTTGCATGGAGGACACAAATTGGAGTTCTGTGAAGTCTTATATAATTATAACCTTAATGCATGCCTACGGGTTCTGTTTCATTTTTTAAAAACTAGATATGTGAAATGCTGAACGTTTAAAGATATTTTTCCTAATCTAGTGTTGTCTTGCCCACACCTAATTTTTTTTTTTTTTTTAATCTTAGCCTCATGGAATCTTTCTAAAGCAGTTAACCTACTTTTCCTATCAATAACAACTCCTTGGTTCACACTTACTTCATCAGGGCATGTACTTTTAAATTAAATTACATAATTAGAATAACAGATACAATCACCACGAAAGGGACTTGGGAACGAATGTGACTGCTTCTTGGTGCCATCCACCTCAACTGTGGGAGCAGCCGTGTGCCCACAAGCCGTGAGTGTTCTGTGCCCTATGTGACCAGCAGGCGGGTGGTCTGTATGCTTCACCCGAGTGAGGAGCCCTGAATCTAGTGGATCTAGCTAGCAGCAGGCTGCTTACTAGTGTCTGCTGTATGAACCACAGCCCTCTCCTCACTCAGCCCCAAGAACAGCCTCAGGTAAACTTGTTCATGGGAAGTGAAGGGACTGATTTAGGACTTGGCTTGTTTGGTTAGACATGCTGAGGCCAGCACCCCAAAAGTAGGCCAGACAAGAAACATTCACAACCTTCAAAACATTCAGCGTGGAAGTACCCAGCTTGTCCCCTCCCCCGCTGCTCTGGGTGAACAGGACCATCCTGCCTGTTTTCATGTGTAAACTGGTTGATTTATGTCCCTGAATCATAGGATCATAGAGGAACATGGCTTCTGTTTCCTCAGCTGTGAAGTTGGCCTTTCTGGAGACTGGGCCAAGCCAGAACTTAAATTTTAACTTTCGGTGCCACCGAGTGGTTGGTTTTGAGATAACCACTCTCATGGAGAAGGACGGTTTGACAAATAATGACTGAAAAAAATACCTGGGGTGAATAGGCAGAGCAGATAGGATTTTTAGGACAATGAAACTACTGTGAATGCTGCTGTCATGGTGGATCTATGTCATGAAATTTTCCAAACCCGTAGAATGTACAACACCAAGAGTGAAGCCTAATGTAAATGGCGGACTTTAGGTAATGATGTGTCAGTGTAGGTCTGTTGATTGTAACAAGCGTACCACTGTTGTAGCGAATGGTGTTGATGGGCGAGGCTGTACATATGTGGGGGCAGAAGGTATATGGGAAATCTGTCTTTCAGTTTTGCTGTGAACCTACAATTGCTTTTAAAAAAATCTTTCTTTCTACATTTCCTTTCTAGCTACTGGTGTTTCAAGTAAGAGCAAGGTAAGATAGAGACATCATCTAGGGAGGTTGGCTGACTTCTCCAGCATTGATGACAGTCCCTTGATAAAGTTCCCACATTCCAGAGGCTGGGTCCTTAGCTTTGTAAATCTCAGAAACCTTTTATTTTCTCACTGTTCCCAGAGTTGTTCAAATTTCCAGGGTTATATCATGCTTACTAAACTTCCAAGAGACTTGTTAAGTCAGAATGCTAGTGTAGTACTTTACAATTAGAAATGTTTATGTAGTGGGAGACCAAAACACAGGTGTTAGCTGAGCAGTTCATTTTCCGCCATGTAGGAAATTTATATGGGAAGACAGATTATACTGAATAGGTTGCTTGGTGAAGTCACAGTGGTGGGGTGTGTGTGGTATAGGGAGTGGTGGGGGGTGTTAGGTGGTTTATCTTGAAGGTTAGTATCATCAAGCTGAGACTGCCTTTTTTTTTTTTTTTTTTTTTTTAAGATTTTATTTGAGAAAAAGTGTGAGTGTGCACACATGCAAGAGCAGGAGGAGGAAGAAGCAGGCTCTCCACTGAGCAGGGAGCCTGATGTGGGGCCCGATCCCAGGACCCTGGGATCTTGACCTGAGCCAAAGGCAGACACTTAACCCATTGAGCCACCCAGGTGCCCCAAGCTGAGACTGTCCTGAGCACTTTAGGTCTATATGTGACTCAGAGCCGGGAATGTGTTGCTGGGCAGTGCTGATGACAGACTGACCTCGTCTTTTTCTTTGGGCATTCTTTTGGAAACTCTGTGCTGAACATCTTGCTTCCATTAACTCATTCTTCCCTCAGGGCTTAGTATGACTGGCAGGGCAAATGCTCTAGACTTGCCAGTAATGCTGTAGTCTCTGGAGAATCTGGTCACCATGATTAGCATTAGCATAATCAGTCACCATTTATAGGTTTTTGCTTGGAAGAACTGGTCTCTTTATTGCATGATAATTTTTAATAATTTCATTCTCAGAAGACGACTTGTTTTATGTTTTGGTGATTGTGTCCCCAAATGCAAGTTAAAATTAATATGTAAAATCCTTCATCACTTTGGAGTAGATTCCCAGTAGCAAAACAGTACTTGCTGAAGGCAGGAATTATTCTAGGTTCTAAGTCAGTTAGAATGCATTTCTGCCATGCACTTGATGTCTGTCTTGAGAGCTGTGTACAGACATCACTACCTGCTTACATATTACCAGCCTGTCCCGTGGTTCCTCATTGGAGCTCTGTTATTTCCAGTTCTTGGTATGGCCTCTTCCTGCCCCTGTTTCTGTCCCTTGTCCCAAACTGCTGCCACATAGAGTCCTCAGGCGGAAGTACTTGGGGGATATTTGCAAAGTTATAAATTGGTAGCCTGTGACTAGAATCGGATCCACAGATCTTTTACTTTTGCCAATATGTTGTTTTTAAAAGTTAGACTTACTTGACAAAACTTAAAAACGAGAAGATTCACAGAGAATTCTGAGTATCCAGTTTCTTTGCATACAAGTCGCTCCAGTTACACGGGGCCTATATCTCCACAGGTCAGTAAGTTACTGGAGTGGCCTAGAGAGGGCATGGACCTTGGAGTTATCCTCAGGCCCCACCCTGCCCTTTCACTCATTTATGTTACTACTTGGTCTTGGGGAAGGGGGTGACTCTTGGTGCATAGGAAAAACAAAAAACACAACAGGCCTAAGGAAAGCAGTAGTTTTCCATGGAGTTTCTGCTTCTTGTTCTTTTGCCTGCCTTCTGAGGGGAATTCCTTCCTAACTTGTTCCTAGCCTCTGTAGAATCCTGCTTCTCTCAGTATGGCACCTCTCAATATATCCCCTGTAGTTGCAAGAGGGGTGGTGTTGGAGTGTCATTGGGGAAAGCCTACAGACTTCGAAGGGTCACAAGACCTGGATTCGAATCCCAGCTCTGCTCCTTACTGAGTTCCATTTCCTTTTCTGTAAAAGGAGGGCTGTAACTTGTCTCATGGGTTGATACGAGTATTAAATGGGATTTTGTATATAGAGCATCATGCCGAAGGTAGGTACTCAAACAGTAGCACCTCCATCCCTGTCTTCTATCAAGACTTGACTTTTCCTTCTTTGTGACCTTAATGAAATCTGGCTGAACTTCTGCCCCTGCTCTCCTGTTACTTATACCCCATTAATCTTATAATAAAGCTAAATTTTATTTTTTATTCCTTATAACTTCCAGTCTTTCCTAACTGCACACTTCAAATAGTTCCCTTTTCTTTTTTGTAGCCAGACTGTATGTAGAGTATAAGAATAATGATGGCAGGTGAATTTATTTTGTTTAGGAAATTCTATAAGAAGGCATATCTTCTATCAGATCTCTAATTGTGTATATAGTTTTATGATAGAAATTACATTTGCTTTTATAGCAGTCTGTTGAAATTCTGAGTATACACACCTTTCTCCCTCCATTGTATGTTACAGAAGTAGAGCCAAGGTCGAAAGCTGGAAAGTCATCAGAAAAAATTAGTACTGGAAGAGAGACACTTCGCTTGAGATCAAAGGGTCCTGCCACCATGGAAGACATGGTAGGTTATGTTTATTTAATTACCATTCTGCTTGGAAATGTGTGGATGTTCATGTTTGTTAGAGCTGGAAATAAAAGTTTTCAAAGTTAAACAAAATACCATATACTCTAAAGCATGGACTTTAATTCATTGCCCACTTAAACAATATGGAAATTATTGAAAGCATTTAAGAAGGAAATGTAGAAAATAAGTACAAGAGAAGAAATTGTGATCTATAGCCATCTTCAGCTATCTGCAGACAACATTTGCTAGAATCTGTGGATATCTGGACTGGCTCAAAAACTTAACCAAAGTTCCCTGAGAGCCAAGAGAAAGTCTCAGGACCACCTGTAGTAGCAGGCATACTTAAGGTTTTGATAATGAAAGATTATATTCATGAACTCCAGTCTCCTCAGGTAAAAACCTTTTGTAGTCTTCTTTGACTCTTCTCTTTCATGTTCCATGTCCCTTCCATTAGCAAACCCTTGTGGGTCTACCTCCAGAATAGACCAGAATCCAGCAACTTCTCACTACGTCTGCCCTCATCACTCTGGCCCAAGGCACCTACATCTTGTCCTGAATATTGCAGTCACCTGTATTCAGTCTTCCTGTGTTCACCCTTGCCCTCTCTCTTTCCCGCTGTGCTCAGCACAACAGCCAGAATTAAAAACACAAGTGGTTGCTTTTCTGTTCCAAACACTCCAGTGGTTTCCCATGCCACTCAGGATAAAAGCTAAAGTCCTCAGAGTGACCAACATGATCTGACTCTGCATTTCTTCTCTGATCTCGTTTCCCACACTCTCCTCTCGGCTCTCACTGCTTCAGCCACATGGGCCTCCTTGCTGTCCCCAAATACTCCAGATGCATCACAACTCAGGATCTCTGTACTGCTGTTCCCTCTGCCTGAATGCCTTGCCCATTTAGGGGCATGGCTCTACTGACTTCTTCATGTTTCTGTCCACGTATCACCTTATCTAAAAGGCCTTTGAGTATCTTGCATAACAAGCAATTCCTGCCACCCCTCCCCCTGCCCAATCTTGCTTGCCCTTAATTTTCTTTAAAGCATTAAGCATAATAGGACACATTGTATCTTTGTTTCTTGTCTGTTTAGTTCCTTTGCTCACATGTCTTGTTCACATGTCACCCCAGCGCCTAGAACAGGACCCGGCACATCAAAGGAGTTCACATCTTTGCTGAATTAATTAATAAATGATGCATTTAAACTTGAGAAGGGTAGGATTTTGCTGATTGACTTGGTCAGTTTTTGAGTGAAAAACACCAAAAGGGGGAGAGAGAAATGGAGGGACGAAAGGTGGAAGGAGAGAACAGTAGGGGTTAAGGGAGACAGGTTAAGGACTCCAGGTGGCAAGCGGTGGTCTGCTCACCCAGTGAAGACAGCGGTGATGAAGTTGTCCTATAGGCAGCTGGGGGGCGGTGGGGGGGGTCAGGCGTGCGTCTGAGGCTGGGGAGTTCCTGCATAGGAGAGGGTACAAGTGCCAGACCCGGCTAGTTGTGTGTTCATATTGTCCTAGGATTCCCCATGTTTTTGAAGAGCAGAAGAGTGAGACCGGTGAACAGGGAGGAGGCCATTTTCACAGAGTGGGATCCCAGAACTTGTTGGGTGACGACTTTCAGGGTCAGTCATGGGGGTGGTTTGTTGGAGCAGACACTCAAGGAACCGTGAGGCCAAGGTTGTGCTTTTGAATGTTTGAGTCACCCAGAATGTTGTCAGTTGGGGGGGGGGGGGAATCCAGAGGAAGACTCTGAGTTGGGTGCCTGGGTACTGGGTAGTGAATGAAAGGATTGATGTGGAGGCAAATGCAAGGAAGAGACCTGGGAGGGCCAGAAGCATTCTGCAAATGAGATATGATGAGGTATGTGAAAAACTCAGGGCAGTGACATCTGGCCATTCTGAGTCTCTACTTTCCCAGTGTCCTGCACACTCTTAGGCATATTGCTGTGGGCCAGTAAGTGTTTATTGCATGAATAAGCAAACCTGAGTAGAAGAAAGGAATCTGGAAGAGAATGGAAGAACAGTGAGGAGGAGCTTGCAGGGGGAGCCAGGAGAATGCCCACCGCTTTCCAGTCCAGGCCGGGAGGAACAAAGGACAGATCTTAAAACCGCTTACAAAGGAGGCAGAGGTAGTGGGAAAACTCCATGTCACTTCAGGAGGAGGGTCATTGAATAGTTAACATAATTGATATGTGTTGAGCACCTGCTATGTATAAGGTGCTGGGATGAAAAAGAGCAGCTGAAGATCTATCTGGGGAGGTAGGAAAGATTCATTTGAAGATAAACATCTAAAACTCCATTCCTATTTGCATAGCGTGTTTCATTAAATAGGGTAATTGAAAGAAGCCCATAATAAAAGGAAAAATTTAGTTTGGTACTCATATTAATTTGGTGCAAATGTCTTATCATCTAAAGAATTTATAGATCTGAAACAAGTCACCGCCTTCTAACCTAGCACAAATTCTGAAAACTGTGGGAAAATTCCACCTGCATACCTTATAAATTATTCAGTATGTGTTTCTTGAGACAGGCTTTACAGTCCAGGTGCTGGTGATACAAAGATGAATAAAGACCTTGTTTCTCCTTTAAGGGGAGGGAGTTGTTGAAAGAAGCTATTGAAAACTGGGGAATAGATTTAATGTCACAGAGGGCTGATCAGCTGCTGTCAGGGATGGGAAGAGAGAGAAAGGTGGCAGGGGGTGGGGTAGGGCGGGATTTTCATCCTGAAGAAATGATTGAGTTGGTTAAAGATGGGGAGAAGAATGTTCTAGCCCTGAAATAATGATGGGCTTGGGGGACCTTGTGAGTGTCCATGGGATTGGGGTGTGGAGTGCTGGAGGGACCTGGTGGGGGCGTGAGGAGGCCTGGGTCAGAATGTGAAAGGTCTGTGGAAATGGAGCCATTTAAGAATTGTATGAGAGCAACATGGTCAGTTTTGCATTTTAGAAAATCCCTTGGTTCTAGTGGATGGATTGTTGAGCAGGGTAAATTTGAGGGGGTGAAGTTTGCAGGCAGGGAGAAAAATTAGAAAACTTCTGCAAATACCAAAAAAATGAGAGCTGAGCCCAGGCAATCAGAATGTGAGTGGAGAAGAGATGATGAGTTCAAGAGCTATTTAGGAGGTAAAATGGTAATATATTGACATCTGATTGTGTATGGGAAGTACTGATATTTGTTATGAAAACTTACAATATGGCTGGTTGATACAAAGGTGGACATCCAAGTTTCTTAGCATAGCCTGTTGCTTTACACAGCACATCCAAAATATACTGTAAGGAAGGCAAGAGTGGTATATCGTTATTGTTTTTAAGGCTTAGTTCATATAAATAAAAATATGAGAAAGTTGTAATATCCTCAAGGAAATAAAAATCGACATTTGTAATAAAATGCGTATTTCTAATAAGTTTGGAGAACACAAAGCAACATATATTTATAATAGTATTAAAAGTACTATGAATTTCTTACAAAATAATCTTGAATTCTACATTTGCGCCGATAGTTGATTATTTCACATCTTTGGGTAATTTCTTTTTCAGCTAGGAAGCTATTTAAAACCAAGTATTAAAATAAACTGAATGTAGAACCAGACTTTGTCAACATTAAACCAAGATTTTCAAAGAATAATAAAATGCATCCAACCATGCTTTTCACATAAACCTTTAATAGTTTTAGGAAGAACAAAATATTTTGGTACCATTAATACACAAAAATTACTTAAAAATAGTTGTTGGGGCACCTGGATGGCTCTGTCGGTTGAGCATCTGACTCTTGATTTCAGCTCTGGTCATGATCTCAGGGTTGTGAGATCGAGCCCTTCGTTGAGCTCCATGCTCAGTGAGGAGTCTGCTTGTCCCTTTAGCTCCCCCTTAGCCCCTCTGCTTGCGCTCTGTCTCTCTTTCAAATAAATAAAATCTTAACAATAACAAAATGATCGTTTCATCATTTCATCCTTACATTTTTATTTTTTGTGTATTTTTATAATGTATACAATATATTAATATAGTAATGTGTATAATTTATGAAAGACACATACTGTTAAAAATGATTAAAGAGAAGGTGACTGGCTGGCTCAGTTGGTAGAGCATGCAACACTTCACTCGGGGTTGTGAGTTCGAGCTCCATGGGCATAGAGCTTACTTTAAAAAATAAACAAAATACAATAAAATGTTACTAAAATTAAAAATCATTAAAGAAGGTAATTTACATGATACAAGCAAACTTTATTCATGATGTGGACAGTCTCCTTTCAGAGAATTGCAAAATGGGGTAGAAGGCAAGAAGCTTTGATAGGATAAAGATTAAAGAACAAGTAAGAGAAAAATAGAAAATATTTGACTGGCTGGGGCCACATAGTCTTGTTTGGGGTGAGAAGTCCCAGAGTTGGCTTGTGTTTGGAGATTGGCTGACTGGATTATACTGTGGTTTTTTTTTTGTTTTTTTTTTAAAGAATTTATTTATTTGAGAGCGAGAAGGACAGAGAGAGCATGAGAAGGGGTAGGGTCAGAGGGAGAAGCAGGCTCCCCGCCCAACAGGGAGCTGGATGCGGGACTCGATCCTGGGACTCCAGGATCATGACCTGAGCCAAAGGCAGTCGCTTAACCAACTGAGCCACCCAGGCGCCCCAGAATCAGAATCAGTGTTTCTGATTAAGCAGATTATTATTATTATTTTTTTAAAGATTTTATTTATTTATTGGAGAGAGAGAGTAAGAGAGAGCATGAGAGGGGAAAGGGTCAGAGGGAGAAGCAGACTCCCCACCGAGCGGGGAGCCTGACATGGGGCTCGATCCCGGGACTCCAGGATCATGACCTGAGCCGAAGGCAGTTGCTTAACCAACTGAGCCACCCAGGCACCCCCTGATTAAGCAGATTATTTATAGCGCCAAGAAAGTTAGATAACAGGACACCTTGGACAGCACAGCTCCATCTTGGGCCTATAAAGTTATTTCAACAATACAATAAAATTAAAAAATAGTATGTGTTCAGAAATGTTTGGCTCACTTTGGTGTGAACCAGTAAAAGGTTTGGAGACCCTTCATCTGCAAGAGGAAGGCTAAAGCCCTTTTCATGGCACACAGGACCCTTTAAGATCTAGTCCTGTCTGGCTATACTCTTTATCAGACCTCACATAGAGGTAGCGTGTCAACTGCAATGCTGTTTTTTTCTTTTTAAAGATTGTATTTTTAAATAATCTCTACACCCAATGTGGGGCTTGAACTCACAACCCTGAGATTAAGAGTCCTGTGCTCCACCGACTGAGCCAGCGAGGCACCCCTGTTGCATACTTCTATTTGCAGTGCTCTCTCCTGCTTATTTTCCACCAGTGTATCTTTGAAAACAGTTTTTAAGTCACCTTCTTTCTCAAGTCTTCTGTGAATCTTAAGAGATTTAAATTTACTTTGCCTGTGATGCCTCTTACATCCTTTAAAAATTTTTCCTCATTATTACATAGCTACTTATTTTCACAGTTTTGTCTCCCCTTCTAGACTATTGCCAGCTACTTGGAGACTCTGTTCTGGCTTTTCTTCTTTGAATCCATACACTTAACACTAACACCAAAAATAAGTATTTACTGTCTTGATTTGTATTGAGTTACAGAGCACATTGTAGATCTGTTTCCATCCAAATAAGCTGATGTACACAACCATGAACTGGCTTCACATCAGATTTCATGTAAAAATAGTATCTTATTTCTCTTTTCTTTGATAAAGCCCTCTGAAACCAAAAAAAAAGCAATTGAAAAGATTGATGATCTTCTTGAGTTGTACATGGGAATTCAAGATACTGATTTAGGTAAGATTATACTATTTTTTAAGTCTTACATTTCTTAATTGAATTTAGTGCTGCTTTATGTCTTGCTTGCATTTATACTCAATGATACTTTTCAAGGTAAAAACTATAAAGTGATGAGAAAAACATAATGAAAATAAGGATATAAAACATAAAAGAATAATGAAAAGACCTGGCCCTTACCATTTACTAGCTGCGAGTCAACTTTTCTAACCTTCAGTTTTTAATCTATAAACTATAATAATAATAGCCTTCCTTCATAAGCTTGTTTTACAGATTTAAAAATTATATATGAACAAATTTTATAAATGGCACATATGGAATGTATTTGATACATCAGATCTACATTGATTAAATTATATATCATGTACTGTATGCACTTAATAGGATTACTGAGATCCTGTGAGCAATGAATCAAACAGGAAGAAAAAGGACACACCTGGTGTGTGACTGATCAGGGCAGTTGAGCAGTTGAATTGCTGGGTATTATGTTGTCACTAGGATGTCAGGGTCTTGATTTCTCAATTGCAAATAACAAAACAATAACAACAGACTGAATTCCAACTGACTTAAAGGATAAAAGAGGGGAATTGTTTTGCTTTTTATAACTGAAAACTTCAGAGGTAGGTCCTGGCTTCAGAAATGGCTAGATCCGGAGTTCTCATGCTATCATCAGGATGTGGTTTCTCTTCTTTCCACTTAGGCTGCATTTTAGGCCCCCCTGGTGTCCCCTGGCAACTTCAGACCCTCCCTCGTGGAGTCAAAATGATGGCCATGGCTCCATCCTCTACACCTTAGTGTCAGGCATGATGGGAAACAGGGGAGGGCCTTTTCCAAGTCATTCAAACAAAATGCCGAGGATTGACTCTGACTGGGCTGATGGGCTCACTGAGGCTGGGGGTTGGTTGGGTCTGGGTCAAATGCTCTACCTCCGGAGCTGAGAGTGACTGAAATACTAGGGCTGAGCTGGTGAAAATCCTGGCGCCTCCCATGTAGGAGCCAGAAGAAAGTGCCCTTGAGAAGGGCAGAGGGATGCTGGGTGGTGAAAGAGTATGCACCGCGGTGGTTGGGCTTGTGTCTGCATGCACCCGTGTGTGCGCTCAGAGTGTGTGTGTGTGGATCAGGTACTTAATACATTTTTTTTTTTTTTTTAAGCCAAAGACTTGTACTGTTTTGTTTCCCTGCTACCAGGTGTAAAGTATTTTACTCTGGCTCAGGTAGAGCGTTTGAAACTCATTATTCCTTTTCTACTTCAACTCATTCTTTTTTCTTATAGTGTCTATTATGTTTTTCTTGCCTTTCTGAACTTGTAAAATAAAATTTCTATGTTGGATATGCAGATGCTGTCTGCAATTGAAGAAATATTAATTTACTCTTTTTTTCTAGTTCCTTGATTCAAAATATAAAATTTGCATATAATAGATACTTGCTCCATATAGACAAGAAGTTCAAGCTGAGATTATCCTGTAGAAAGCCAGCATCTTAAAACTTTTCTACAAAAACTTTTCCTCAACCCTTTTGCATTTGGAAAGACAGATTTGCGTAAGTGAGGTGGGCCTATGAAAATTGTGCAAATTAAAGCAAAGGGATGGGCGCCTGGGTGGCTCAGTTGGTTAAGCGACTGCTTTCGACTCAGGTCATGATCCCGGAGTCCCTGGATCGAGTCCCACATCGGGCTCCCTGCTCAGCGAGGAGCCTGCTTCTCCCTCTGACCTTCTCCCCTCTAATGTTGTTTCTCGCTCGCTCTCTAATAAATAAATAAAATCTTTAAAAAAACCAAACAAACAAAGGGGATTTATGAATGGCAGTGCTCTTAAATGCAGATTAGACAGTTTGGAAAAATGATACATATCTCTATTTAGTTGAGAAGTTTTCAAACAGTGTAACTGACTATTATAAGATTCAGAAACAGCCTATCAATGCTAGATCTTGATGAACTCAAATTTAGGAGAATCACACTTTTCAAAGGGGAGAGTTTAAAATAGTCTTTAGAATTTAATTTTAGGTATAGGCCTTATAGTTAATTAAGTGTAAGTTTGGAATAGTTAAATAAATTAGTTTTGTTCTTTTGTTATTAAATATATACAAGTATACATGGAAGAACAATAGATAGTGGAGTAATTCTAAGTGAATTAAGGAGCGGTTCTTTAAGAACCCATTTCTTTCACTCTGACAAATTCAGGGCACTAAACATTCCTCACAAATTCCTTGTAAATTAACTTGTAATCCCATAGTAAAGTTAATTAATCATCTGTAGCAAATTCCTCCAATGACTCGGAAAGTCATTATCATTATACATGATTAGCAATGTGATCATTCATCTAGGGACGTAAAGTTTAAGGAAAATAATTGAAGAATGTCAACCATTGTTAAATTAGGAATTTCTGTCATTACTCAGATCTGATTAGCATGAAATAGAAACCACAAATGTGACACTGATTCAACAAATGAATGTATTTGCTTGTTTTTATGTCTCAGTGTTCTTAGCTTTCAGAAATGTTAAGTCTTAAGGCAGATTGCAGTGACATCATGTTATTCCGGAGTTGTTAATATAAATTTACATTAAAAAGTGAAAAAGGTAATATGGCAATAAAATGACTAAAACCAAAACACTATCTTCACAAAACTTTGGGGTTGTATTTACCACTTGAAAATGGAAAATAATTGAAATGAGTTTAGGAATTAACGGTGCTTTTTTTGGTTGTAAAGTTAAGCTGTGAACTGACTTTTCAACTTTTCAACATGTGTTGCCTTGGAATGTTATCCATGGTGGAAAAATGGATTCTGGAAGATTTTGAGTCCTGTAACATATTGTAGGAGATTGACCTAACTTAATGAAAAAGTTGTATCATATAAGTTTCCTCATGCATATTTAAGGCAACTGTGTTAATTATATATAGAACTATAATATGTCCTGATGATACCAATTTAGGAGTTTGGAGATCATCCTAGCCATGTCAGAATTTTAGGATTTCTAATTTATTAAGAGATCCAGAAATGTGTGGAAAAGAAATTTGAATGATAACTCTAAGTAATTTTTTCTTATAAAACTTTTTTTTAGCTCCTTAAAAAAAAATACAATAATGGCATTTAAATAATTACATTTCTTGGGGCGCCTGGGTGGCTCAGTTGGTTGGGCGGCTGCCTTCGGCTCAGGTCATGATCCTGGAGTCCCGGGATCGAGTCCCGCATCGGGCTCCCTGCTCGGCAGGGGGTCTGCTTCTCCCTCAGACCCTCCCCCCACTCTCTCTCTCACTCTCTCTCTCTCAAATAAATAAATCTTAAAAAAACAAACAAACAAAAAAAAACCTTTAAATAATTACATTTCTTTGCAAATAACAAATGATTTTCTTTCTTCCATGAATTCAAAACCGTGAATACTGTAGAAAGTCACCTTCTCAGATAAAGCCAGTGATTTTGGAAATAGATTTTCATTAACAAAAAAACCATATTCAGCATTGGTCGTGTTTTTGATGTTTGACTCCTGAGTTCTTTGAAATGGATTATTTGTGAAAAGTCTATGGGAAATAAGTGCTAAAGATCTCTCTTAGAAGGAGATACAACTACAGATGGTTAACAGTGGCTAACAATGTTTAGGACTAATCTTTATTTAATCCTGCTCTGTGTCATTTTATAGATTTGAAAACAGATTCAGAGACATTTGGTTACTTGCCCAAAGTCAGCTAACAAATTAAGAGCTCAGATTCAGATCTGGGATTTTTTTTATACCAAGATTTTTCATCTGCAGTAGTATCTTCTGTTTAAAAGTTCTGTTTAAGTATTTAAAAACTTAGTGGGAAATATAGATTGACCTATATCACCAAAATAAGTTTGTTGTTAATAAATGATGTAAAAATTGTTCAGTTGCGGAAATGATAAAAAGATATTTTAAAAATGGCCAGTAGAGGTCAGCACTTAGCTGCTAGATGTGGTATAACATGTCTATTCTTTCAGTGGAATTTTTTTTTTTTTTTTCTGGCCAGATTGCATTTGGGTGTTAAATATTACTGCAGTGTACTGCAGATCCATTATAGGTAAAAAGCATTTTAGTAGCTGTCATATTAATGTGATGTAACTTAATAAAAAGTGCTTCTTTTTGCTAAAAGCTTCATTTTGCTTTTCTCTTAAATCAAAGATATAGTCTTTAATCAAAAAGGATAAAATACCAATTTACTTCTCCTTTAAGAGTGTTCAAAAATATGTGTTTATACTTTATTCATTAGCAAAAATTTGTGCATGTTTTAGTGCATGCTCCATTCTTAATTTCTTTGAAAATTCATATAGCCGATTCCTTACTGTTTTTTAAAAGATTTATGGAACACTGTGTTACATATAGTATTTCTAACACCTTAACAAAGCTGCCTAGTTGGTATTTTTGTTACTTTTAGCAGATCAGGAGTTCCTTGAGGGCAGATACTGTACTGCTTTTAATCTCAGCTCCTACGACAGTACTTCTCCTAGAGTAAATATTTGGTAAATGTTTCTTGACTGTGTGTTGAGAGGCACAAAAATAGTGAATACACAGAGAGTATGAGTCCTAATTTCATAAGTTTGAAACTTTAGCCCTTGGACAAATTATTAAACTTCGAACCTTAAATTCCACATCTTTGTAAAAGGGGTATAATAAAAACCTCAAAGGGTTGCCAACACATTAAATGAAATAATATGTATAAAATTCCTGTCACATCATAAATAATAGGTACAGCTATTATTTTTAGTGATGATCACTAATAATTATTACTAGTAATAATGGTAGTGGTAGTAGAGGTAGGACTGTATACTGGAGGGCTGACCAACTCTGGGACTGTATTTAGTGTGGAAGTTTAACTTTTCTGCTGTACCAGCATGAGTGCATGAGTGAGATTATACAGTTTTTTTGGATTGTAAGGTTGTGGTATGGGCATCTGAGACCATCATTTTTCTCATTTTGCAACTGAGGAACCCAAGCCAGAGTTTGCAAGTCAGAGTAGGCAAGGTCCAGAATATATTGATCCTGGGCTTAGTGCACTAGACGATGCTGCTGAGCTTCCCGAGGTATCATACAGCCATGTACCAAGTTATTTCTTATAGTCAGGCAGGTGTGTGTATGTGTGTGAGTGAGTGATTGGCTGACTCATTGTCCATCAGTGAACATCTGATTCTGGTCTTTGTGTCCCCCCAGCATTTAAGAGCATCATTCATCTGCACTGTTAGTTTTTGCTTCTGAATGTAGATTTTCTTATATCTCCTGTGTGCATCTTCTTTCTTCCTCTGCTAGATTGTGTATCACCCACCTGTTAGTATAATCTTTAGGTAACTGTCTCAACAAATGCTATCTGTGGAGCCTATGAGAAATATTTAAAATGGTAGGCTTAGCAAAATTCTGAACTCGAGTCCTACTTTTGCAATCTTTAAGTTTTGGTTACTCTTTTTTCCATAGCCTGGCTATAGGACCAGACCTCTAGGTTTTGCTTTCTCCAATGCATGTTAACTGTATCGGTGTAAAAATTATTTAAGTATAATTACAAAGCCGCCTCCTGTCCTGTGCATCTACCAGCATGTACAGTGTATAAGACACTGAACTGGTTCCTATGGGCATAAAAGACTGAGTAGGCTATTCAAGATCTGTTGGGAGTTTATTCTTTTTCTTTTTTTTTTTTTTAAAGATTTTATTTATTTAAGAGAGCATAAGCGGGGACAGAGGGAGGGAGAGAAGCAGATTTCCTGCTGAGCAGAGAGCCTGTCACAGGGACTTGATCCCATGACCCTGAGATCATGACCTGAGCCGAAATCAAGAGTCAGATGCTGAACCAACTGAGCCTCCCAGGCGCCCCTAGGATGTGAACATTTTTAAGGATTTTGATAGTACTGATTGTCAAATTATTTTTCAAAAGCTAAGTTTAAGAAGTCAAGCCTGTGTGTATCTGAATATTTGCTTCACTATATCCTGGCTAGCTTTGGTATGCCATTTAAAATATATATAAAAGTTGTAATAAACTTGGCCAAACCCTTTGGAGCTGAAGCTGAAGGCCTCCTTCCTCTTTGAAGTGTTTGGTTGGATTGACAGTAAATGTAGAAGCTTTTGGGTCAGGGCTGAGGCCTGAGGCAAGATAAGAGAGAGGAATAATGATGAGAAGGAATCCATTCCTCCTCACTCATAACTGCTTTTTATTTATTATTATTTTTTTATTTTTTAAAGATTTTTATTTACTTGACAGAGACACAGCAAGAGAGGGAACACAAGCAGGGGGAGTGGGAGAGGGAGAAGCAGGCTTCCCGCTGAGCAGGGAGCCTGAAGTGGGGCTCGATCCCAGGACCCTGGGATCATGACCTGAGCCGAAGGCAGACGCTTAACGACTGAGCCACCCAGGCGCCCCTCATAACTGCTTTTTAAAAGTATTTTTTGAAGCAATCTTAAACATTGAGAAAGGTTATAAATACAGTACAAAGACTTTTTCCCCTTGAGCATGGGAATAAATTAACAATATTTATTGCCCCCAAATAATTTAGTGCATATTTCCTATGAACAAATATATTCTCCTAGCTTACCACAATATCAATTACCAGGAATCATGAAATTAACATTGATACATTACTATCATCTCTTATTCATATGTTATGTTTCACTAAATACCTTAATATCCATTATAGCAGAAGAGCATGTTCAAAATCTTATGTTACTTTTATTTATATCAATTTAGAACAGTTTCCCACTCTTGATTTTAATGACCTTAATGCTTTTGGAGGGTACAGCTGTTATTTTATAGAATATTCCTCAATTCTGATTTGTCTGATTTTTTTTTTCCAGAATTACGTTTAGGTTATACCTCTGGCAAAAATATCAAATGTGATGCTGTTTTCTTTTCAATTACATCTTACCAGGAGGCATAGGAATTTTTCTATTTCTGATATTGTTCATGTTGATGACTTACAGTGGTATTTGCGAATTGTCTCCACTATAAAGTTATTCTTTCTGTAGTAAGTATTTGGTGGAGAGATATTTTGAAACTATGTAAATATCCTGTTCCTCATGATCCTACCTTCCTTCTGTCCATTTGTCAGTCAGTCATTACTTTGGGCCACATCTCCTCCTTTCCCTTTAACCTGTGTTAGTACAGAACTGTTTGAGACAAGGCGCAGTCCTTAAATGCTCTTAAGAGCCCTAGTGGATTTTAGCTGAAAGACCAGACCTCTCGGTTCATTCAGAGAAATCCTACAACTGTTGAATTGTTCAGCCTTAACCTGGGAGGAAAGGAGATGCTGAGCTTTGGTGTTTCTTTTTTACCTGATGTTCTTTACCCAAGTCCTAAATCACATCCACACTGTCTCTTTCCAGTTGCTGGTGCTTATAAGGGACTGAGAACAAAACAGCCGAGCCTCATGGGCTCCCAGCCAGTTGGGGCAGGTCCCATGGGAATGTGTACTCCTGAAGATGCTGGTTCTCCAGACATAAGAACTGGGGCTTGGCAATTTACTAGAAAAACAGAACAAGAGCACCACTTTCACTTTCTATCTCAAACTAGAAAGGGGCTCAGGAAAAGTTACCTTGATTCCCTGAGTAGACCGATATCATCTTCTCCCTACCTTGATTTTCCCATTGCCAACTTGTATCCTTTGTCTTTGTTTTTTGGAGGATCGGGGAGTACTAGGTTCCATCATAGTTTGGTGTGGGGTGCTGGTAGAAGGGGCAGAGAGAGCTAGTGACTGTGGGCAGGTGGAAGAGGTATGATGTACTCTGAGATTCCTGGCAGGGTTACCCACAGGGTTTCCTTTCTGGAGCCAGAGGAGTACCAGTAGTTCTTGACTGATGGGTTCCAAGGTGGAGGAGAGGCCAGGGGTGGCAAATCTGGGTGCAGTGGACAGACTGTTTAAAAATGTATTTGCGGGCGCCTGGGTGGCTCAGTTGGTTAAGCGACTGCCTTCGGCTCAGGTCATGATCCTGGAGTCCCTGGATCGAGTCCCGCATCGAGTCCCGCATTGGGCTCCCTGCTCAGCGGGGAGTCTGCTTCTCCCTCTGACCCTCCTCCCTCTCATGCTCTCTGTCTCTCATTCTCTCTCTCTCAAATAAATAAATAAAATCTTTAAAAAAAAAAATAAAAAAAAATAAAAATGTATTTGCTACCCTGATAGATGATAGTATGTTACTGTTATAGCTTGTACTACAAATAGATCTATGCATGTTACATGTAGAAAGTAATTTTTCTGCTGCCATTTTTCTCAGTGCTCTGATGCTGTCTCATGTATCATTAATATTTAAAAATTGTTTTTGATAGCTACCACAATATTGGAAGCTGGAAAGGACAAAGGTAATCCAGATGAATTTGCTGTGGCACTCGACGAAACTCTCGGAGACTTTGCGTTCCCAGATGAATTTGTCTTTGATGTTTGGGGAGTCATTGGTGATGGGAAACGAGAATGATGATGACGTGGATGATCCATCTCTGGAGAAATGAGCCATTCTTTTTAAAAAAAATCCATAAGATCTGTTTTTAGACACTGTTACAGACTCTGGTTTGGTCTTACGTGTATGGAATACATTCTTTGAAATATAATTTTGGTTTGTGGGTACCTTTTAATGCGGTTGCAGATGTGGTATGCTTAAATCACCTAAAATATGATCAGTTTTAATATTCATTCAAGAATCTTTTTAAAGTAAGTTTTAGGGGGTATTTCTAGAGAGAGAATTTTGCTCCCTATTAACATCCGTGTTTTCTTTTCCACATGTAAGTAGCTGGTTGCGGTAGCTCTGTCGCTCATTTTTAATATCTTAATGCAGTGAAACTGGGATTAGAGTATGATTTGCCTCTGAGCATCTTCATTTTGTTATACCAGCCTGATCTGGGTACGTTCAGGCAGTGAAGTGTGAATTATGACCACTATGGGTCTAGAAAGCATTGTTTCTTTAATCCACTGAGTAAGGGGAGGACGATTCCTAAAGCCTCTTGATGTCTATGGCCTACTTTCTTCATAAAACAAGGGTTGATTGACTTTTATTTTTTTGCTTCTGTAATCCTTTTAAAAAACTTGTTAAAATCTATTATACTGTGTATGTATTTGCCTGTGTGGAAGAAGGGTGGAAAAGGCAGATAGGGTAGAAACCACTTAAATTTGATTTTTTTAAAGCAGTTCTTAAACCATTCTTTTTCCACTCATACCCACTGTTATGTTACCCTTTATAAGCACTCCAGGGAAGGTTTTTATAGTCTTTGTAGAACTTTTCTTTTGAAAGATATTTACTCAGAAAATAACTATGTTTGAGAACTTTTTTTTTTTTTTTAGGTGAAAGAGCAATGCTTTTAAGCCTCCTAAACTTTAGAGGAGATACTATCAGAAATCAGTTTCCCCCAGTGGAAATGAAGGAGGACGGGAGGAATTGAGAAAATATATTAGTCTATTATTTTAGAGTTCTAACATACTTTCTCTAAAACCTTACATTATTGAGAAAATTGAGGGCAAATGACTGTCTTATCACTCTTATTTGACATTTTGTGGATGTCAGAGAATAGAAATGAATGGTTTCAACATAGATCACTTAATAAGGCAGTGTATGGTGTGACCAAGCATTCTTCTAAAGTGTTGGCTGGAAAATGCTGTGTGCTGCCATGGTAATCAGAAATAATGACCCGCGAGGGCTGTATTCCAGGAAATCAGGAGCAGTTCCCTTTTCATGGTGAGTTAATGCTTAGATAATTGTTGTTTTCTGGTGCAACTTTACTTTTACTGACATCCACTCCTCTTTCACATAAGTATAATGCTTTGAAGCAGATACTCTTTGTCTCATTAATCTGAGACCTGTACAGAAGCCCTGTTTTAGTCATTAATGTGTAACTAAAGGAGTTTATAGAACATGGATTCTCTTTTTTTTTTAAGATTTTATTTATTTATTTGACAGAGAGAGACACAGCAACAGAGGGAACACAAGCAGAGGGAGTGGGGGAGGGAGAAGCAGGCTTCCCGCCGAGCAGGGAGCCCGATGCGGGGCTCGATCCCAGGACGCTGGGATCATGACCTGAGCCGAAGGCAGACCCTTAACTGACTGAGCCACCCAGGCGCCCGAACATGGATTCTCTTAATGCGCTTGCCCATCATTTGAAAATGGGACCCAGCTCAGGCTGTAATTTGTTGTTACTTGTTTCATGGATTTCTTTTGGAGCTCCCTAAATATCTATTAATTCTTTTTTAAAAAAATTTTAATTTTTTAATTTTTATTTTAAGGTATCTACTGATTCTTTTTTTTTTTTTTTTTTAAAGATTTTATTTATTTTTCAACAGAGAGAGAGACAGCGAGAGAGGGAACACAAGCAGGGGGAGTGGGAGAGGGAGAAGCAGGCTTCCCGCCGAGCAGGGAGCCTGCTGCGGGGCTCGATCCCAGGACCCTGGGACCATGACCTCAGCCGAAGGCAGACGCTTAACGACTCAGCCACCCAGGCGCTCGGTATCTACCGATTCTTAATACCACCTCTCTTAGAAGGACACACAAAGAGTTGATACTTTGAAAGGTGAGAAAGTTGAGGCCCATAAAAGCACTTTAGTTTAACAAAAAAAGTTTCCTGGCACTAGATGTTAGATTTGAAATGATGAGTCCTTATTTATCGTTGATATCTTTTTCTCCTTCCTTTTTGGGCATGCAGGAAGATTGACACTGATTCTCTGTGATTTATGGAATCTCATATTCACAAACTGAGTTGTGCTCACCATGATTTTTCTGGAATTTTGATGTGTAAGGTACCAGTGTCCATGTACAGCGGTAACTCTACTTGCCTGTTAGGGTTAAATAGTAGTTATCATCATTCAGGGCTTCACCTGAGCACAGGTACTTTAATCCTAATAGGTTTTTCCTTGAAATGTCTTTGTCTCTCACCTCTATTGCTTAGCTGATAACAAGGTCAGTTTCTTTATGTCATTTTGTTCCCTCCCTGAAAATGTATCCGTTTGTGAACTTTGTGCCCTTCGGTAACTCTCGGTGCACAGAAAGAGCAGGGTCTCATTTTAGTTGTCACCGTCTACAATGTGGGCTACCCTTCTGCTACTACAATGAGAACAGTCTTTTTTTTTTTCCCCATTAAACATGCTATTTCATTGATACCACCAAACATTTCCAGAAGGCCTCTCTCATTTTCTTTTGTTCTTTTTTTTTTTTTTAAGATTTTATTTATTTATTTGAGAGAGAGAGAGCACATGAGAGGGGGGAGGGTCAGAGGGAGAAGCAGACTCCCTGCCGAGCAGGGAGCCCGATGCGGGACTCAATCCCGGGACTCCAGGATCATGACCTGAGCCGAAGGCAGTCGCTTAACCGACTGAGCCACCCAGGCGCCCTCATTTTCTTTTGTTCTACAGGAGTTTTTTTTCCCCCCCCAGTGGAGGAGGAGGATTTTATTCTTGATTTCCCTCCATGCAAAATTGCATCTTTCAGGGGCCGCTAAGCACACACTGTGTATTTTCTCTGTGGCAGAGTATGCAGGTGGGGACGGAATGTTGGGCTCGATGGGGCCTTGAATATTGCTTGCCCCTGATCAAGTGTACATATTCTGATGATTATAAATAGTACATTTTGGGTTTCTGTGATGTTTCAAAAATATAATTATATAATTACATGATGTGAAACTTTAAGAATTCAATTATAAGAGCAGTAATCAGTTAACCTGTACTTGGGACGACTGTATCCAATATTGTAATGTAAACAGGTAATTAGAAATAATTTTGCCAAATGACTAATTTGCTGTATTTCCCCCTATAACTTTAACAAATAGAGATTTTCCAAGTGAAGCACACTTCCTTTAGGTCCATGTTATTGCTAGGCCTTCATCAAGTCTAGAGAGAGCCTTCCTGGCATCCTTTAGTTATCATTGCCTATCTAGCATAGAAGCAAAATGAATTTCATCTGCAAATAGAATTTTCAAAATAATGGTTCTTCTAAATAGGGCACAGTTATCTGCCAAAGATGTAAAAGATCGATCATATAATGACCCTTTCACCCTCTGATACATCTAAAAATATATGGATACTGATAGCATTGTTATTATTCTGCTGGAAGTAATGGGTTAGAAGGACAGTCGGTGTTTTACCCAAGCTATGAGTGAATAAAAAGATAGGAGATGTGGGACGCCTGGGTGGCTCAGTCGGTTAAGCGTCTGCCTCCCTCTGCGGGGAGCCTGCTTCTCCCTCTGCCTTTGTCTCTCTCTCTCTCTCATGAATAAATAAATAAAATCTTAAAAAAAAAAAAAAGGAGATGCTGTTCAGCTCACTGTCCCAAGAACCAGTGCTCTGTGTAAAATGCACATTTATTAACTTCTTGACACAGATTGAAAGGGACATCAGAGTAATTACAAGTCCCTTACACATATCATGGTTATAAAATGTTTCTAAGATTGTGAAGTATACAGATGTCACAGTCTGTCCCTACCTCTTACCTGAAATCCTACTTCTAAGAAATGACTCAGGGTTATTATCTGCTGGGAGGGTGAAAATTGAATGTGACATCTTTATCTCAATTTGAGACATTAAGCCTCTATAAAACTTACGTAGAGCCATAGATCTTTTTAAAGCAGTAACAAAGAAAAGAAAAGAAACTTTCTGATAGTTTTAAATAAACATTTTATATTTTGAACTGTTCATGCCATGCAATGATATTGACTATATGTAGGTAAAATAATCTGTTTTTTTTGGGGAAAAAAACACTTTTGTCTTTTGTAAAAATCATAGCATATACTTTAAAATGTTTTTTGAGATTGAATTTTGGAAATTTATTAACTTGTGAAATTATAACATTTTATTTAAAACTTACTGTATTTCTACTTGTAGATTGTATAAATGTTTATGTATTGATCAAAAAGTGAATTATTGTAAAGGTATAATTTATAATATTTAAAATATAACTCCTTAAAATAAGCTTTTCATGAAAAAAATGAATGTTTTTATGAAAAAATTTGGGGTTTTAAATGTTTGGCTTTTTAATTTTATTTAAATAAATGATTCAGGGGATAACATGTAATTGTTTAGGTCTCTATTTCTTTTTTTAAGATTTTTTTTATTAGAGAGCACGGGGTGGGGGATGGGCAGAAGGAGAGGGAGAAGCAGACTTCCTGCTAAGAAGGGAGCCAGACATGGGGCTCAATCCCAGGACACTGAGATCATGACCTGAGCCGAAGGCAGATGCTTAACCAGCTGAGCCATCCAGGTGCCCTGACCTTTATGTTTTTAATACATTTTTGATATATAGTTTTTTCTCTGTGTATTTCATATGAAGTATAACCTCTAAGGTCTCTTAGTTTTAAAATCCCAAAATTATATGTTTTGATTCAGTAAAAATATATGAGATATGCACTGCCAGAGTACTCTAAGGTAAAATAGTCATAAGCTATTTCTGTTTATAAAATAGAGGTTTAGCTGGGGTGACATTTTTCTTCTTCATTCAGCCAATTTTATGGCAGTAGTTTCCAAACAATACTGTGTAGAAGAAATATCAGCCTGTAGCTCTTAGGTGGTTATGCCTTTTGGATTCATTATCTCTTTGATGCATTTTGAAGGCCCTATCAGAGCTATTAGAAATCCTTAAAAATATGCTAATTCCATATGTTTGGGGGTGGGGCCCAGGAATCTGCATTTTGACCCATCCTCCAGATGATTCCAATGGAAGTGAATCCTAAACCTTTACTTTGAGGTCCCCGACAGTCAGGACCAGCACTGGGTAGGAACAATAGACATGACTTCAAGAACTCACCATCTGTCAAGATAGAGACTTAAAAGAGTTCTCCAAGAAAATTAGGTAAGTGCTAAAATGGATGTAAAACCATATGGGAAGAAGCTATGTATGACAGTAAGATTTCTTTTAATTTTACCAAGTGGGTGATTTTCTAAATGTAAATTGGTATGCTAGAAGAATTTGTTCTTGCAGAAGTAGACTTCCCAGTTGGTGCACTATGGATTAATCCATGTGATAGTTTTGCCTTTGTTTACATGCAATATTTGATGCTTAACATTGATACAAATAAATATTGGCTATTTATCTTGCCCTTATTAGGTATTCTCTTCTAGTTTTATAGATGAGGACCCTCTTAGACAATGGTTTTTATTTTTATTTTTTTAATTTTTAATTTTTAAAAAAAGATTTTATTAGCATGAGAGGAGAGGGTCTGAGGGAGAAGCAGACTCCCCACTGAGCGGGGAGCCCGATATGGGACTCAATCCTGGGACTCCGGGATCATGACCTGAGCGAAGGCAGTCACTTAACCAACTGAGCCACCCAGGCGCCCCTAGACAATGGTATTTATTTATTTATTTATTTATTTATTTATTTATTTATTTATTTAGGTGTTGTCCACTTCCTATAGAACATTTCCAGTTTTTTAAATTTTTATTTTTATTTTTTATTATGTTAATCACCATACATTACATTAGTTTTTGATGTAGTGTTCCATGATTCATTGTTTGCATATAACACCCAGTGCTCCATGCAGAACGTGCCCTCTTTAATACCCATCACCAGGCTAATCCATTCCCCCATGCCCCTTCCCTCTAGAACCCTCAGTTTGTTTTTCAGAGTCCATAGTCTCTCATGGTTCTAGACAATGGTTTTTAGAGTGGAATTGACATGCATTATAAGATTGATCTCTCTCAATGGGAGTAACCTCAGGGGATGCTGTGGTTTTGATTATGGAGAATCTAAGCTTGTAAAAATGCTGCTTGAAGTCTCCTTGTGTGATTTTTCTCTTAGGTTGCTTCATGTAGGGGGTAGAGTGAATACGATTCATGCTTTATTATCTTATGTGTCATCTAAAAATATGTTGGAAATAATATTTACTATTAAAACAATTGTAGATCCAATGAATTAATTTAGTTTTGAAAAGGTGGTTTCTCTAAGTTAGAATTTCTGCCCCCCTCATTCAGATGTTATTATAAAAATAATTTGATATCGTATTATTTTTATGGCTTTCCATGAAAAGTAAATAGAGATATAAAAAATGAAATACACCAAACTCTTTCTTCCCCATAAAGCAAAAGGAAAACTTTCTCTTCTGCAATGGCACTGGAGAAAAATGAGGAAATAAAATCCTGCAGTTTAAGAATGGTGGAAGAACCATAGGATACCTTAGCTTTGGGAAAGGGAAAATGGGAACATTGTATCCATCTTCCTGCAATGTCCTTCCCTCTTCTCCTGGCTCTTCTCTACCTACCCTTCATCCATGGGGTTCCCCAGGCCTCAGACATGGGTTCTGTCCCCGACTCCACCCTCTTCTTAGAGCACTCATCTCTTCCCATGACTTTAAGCATCTTTAGTTACAACTCCCAAACATATATCTACAGTTTGGATCTCTTTTCTGAGCTCTATACTCAGATACTCAACTGCTTCCTTGACATCTCCACTTGTGTGTCAGAACTTTAACATGTCCAGGATGAAACTTAAATTTTTTTTTTAGGAAAGGGAGAGGGACAGAGGGAGGAGGAGAGGGCGAATCTTAAACAGGCTCCATGCCCAGTGTGGAGCCCAACGGGGGGCTCGATCTCATGACCCTGAGATCATGACCTGAGCCGAAATTGAGTGGGACACTTAACTGACTGATCCACCCAGGTGCCCCCCCCCATTTTTTTTTGTCTTCTTCAATTTTCTCTGACAGAAAGTGGCATCATAATTCACTGCTGCTTTCTTCACCTACTATGTCTAATTCAGCAAGTTCTTTTTGTTGTATTTCTAAAAATGTCTCCCAAATATCTACTTTCTAGTTTCAGTGTTACCTGTTTAATCCATGCCTCCTTTCCATCTGGGAGGCTGCTTCAGGCTCCGCACTGCTGTCCCATCTTCCACTCCTGCCTTCCTCCAGCTGGTGATGCGAGTGCTCTGAAAACGTTGATTGCAGGACGTGAGTGCTCAACTTTCTTGAAAATGAAAACGTCAGGGTCTCATTGTTTTCTTCTCTGGAGGGACTTAACCTTATGCTCATTTTTGTCTTTGAGGGAAGCGGCACTAGTTTTTGGAAGATTTAGCTTCTGCTAAAGGGCTCACAGAGACTGAAGGCTATGGGGGGGAGGTAGGTGTGTGTGTGTGTGTGTGTGTGTGTGTAAAAGGGAGAGAGAGATCTTTAAAGGTCCAAACAGGAAGATTGTGCCTTGTTTTCCTGCACGCTTGTTATTGCTGGGTGGAGTGCTTAGACCAGCCAGAACATGAGCCTTCCAAAGATTCCTGGTGTCTCATCATTGCAGAGGCAGTAAAACGCACAGTGAGCGGTGGTGTTTGAGTACCCAGTGCCCTTGTGGAAGCTTGAGTCATTGAGCAGAGCCCATCAGCCTTCAAAGAATCAGTACTTCCCATCCCCTATTTGTTTCTATCAGTGTTTGTCCATAGGTTTGCCTATTATTGTCCAGCGAGGACAGTCACCACACCAGCCCAAACCTCTGGCTTATTCCTGTGGTGCCCTGTTCTCGGATCCCCCCCCCTTTTTTTTTTTTGTCCCTTTTGGAGTGTTGGGGAAAACCTTTGCTTTTGTACTAAGGAAGCTAAACTGAACCAGCACAAGAGCTTTGACATGAACATGGGCATTTTTCTAGATGCTAATGGGATCACACCACTTCCCTTCCAGCTTTTTATAGTGACCTTCAAAGCCCTACCCATGTCATTACCATGCTCATCCTAGCTCTGTGCTTTGGTTACATTGAACTTGCTTTTCACTTCCAAGTTCTTCCTTTCTTAGAACTTTTTCACTTGCTGTTTTCTCTGCCTTGAACCCTTCCTTCTATTTGCATGGCCAGGTCCTTGTCATCCTTCATTTATTAGTGTAAATGCCGCTTCTTTGGCAAAGATGTTTTTGACCTTCTTCCTCTCCATATTCTTGATTTCAGCCCTTGTTTTTTTCCATCCTAACTTATTATTTTAAATTATTAGTTTTTATTCTATATTTCCCACTTGAAGATCAATTTCTTGGGAGTGGGGTTGTTTATATCTCTCCCTGTTATATCCTGGGCACTTAGCATGGAGCCTGGTACATATTAAACACTAACAAAATAATCATTAATGAGGAACTTCAACAAATATCTGTTGAGTGCCTACTGTGTGCCCATTTGCTGTAAGTAGATCAACTCACCTAATCTTCAGCAACCC